GTGCGCGTACCCCTTTTATAGATAGGGATAACTGTCGACATGTCCCATCCTGCAGGCACTTTCTATTCGGCCAATATAATAATAATAATAATAATAATAATAATAATAATAATAATAATAGGAATAATCGTAACACCGTTCCGGTTTCCAGCTGCACTACTACCCGAAGGGAACACGAGGGCTGAGATACTGCCAAGTTACCCAAGCCTAGACAGGAGCGGTCGAAATGCCAATGTTCCTACTGCATTCCTAATTTTCAAGCAATATGACCTACATACTCCAGGTCAGCAAGTTCCCTGCTCAAACAGACTGAACATTGTGACTTCGGAGGCCGTTTAGAGCCCGTCCCACTTGGGAAGTCAAAAAATGAAGGGAGTGGGCATCCTTGTAAGACACCAATGGTAGTAAATAAACTTTTGAGGGACTTCTTATACACCAGTCCCAAACATCATATATAGGGTGACATAGCATTGATTCGGACAGAAAATTACAGTGACCGGTGATCTAGCAAAACGTGGTGGACATAAGACAAGCAATAAATAGGAACAATACTCGAATTTCTTTGATGAAACTGAAGATAACGGCACCAGCTGGACCAGCAGTTTATTCAATATTGCCAATCCTGACAGACATATACGTGGATGTACAATAGGAAGCGATGAATGCGTTAAGATTGAGGCTAAGCTCTCGAAATATGCCGAAATTAAGGAAACCCAAAGCTCCAAGAAACGCACCTTTTTTGAATACTATCTTCTTCGCTTTAGCCTCTGTCTCTAGGGCCGCAGCTTTGACCCAAAGCCGAACCGAAGTAGGGAGGTTACGAATTCCTTGGGCCACAACGGATTTGGCCTGTTCTGGCTGTACCAGGCGTGCGGCCTCCAGCCAAATATCTTCTGACTTCGGACATTCTTCACAACCATTCAGAATTAAATTGCGCGCAACCTGAAAAAAAACAAGGATAGCGAGTTGAGCAACGCTGATCGACGGAGATTCAATAAGACACTCAGTGAGAATGAATCAAGGAATGGAGCTAAGCGACCATGAAGTAATAACGATATTTTGTAACTTTAGAAGATGGATTAGAAGGAAGATTTGATATTTGTTAGATGTAGAAGATACAGTTCGAGGATAATTGCTTGCCGCAAGATACTGTTGGTAGCAAGGACCAGTCCGCGTGAAGTCAGTTGTTTGTGACACTGTTTCCGCCCGTTCTTAGCATTACGAGAACCAACTCCGAACGTAACGGGACTACATAACTGCCAGTGGAATAACTGTTTTTCGTTGAGACGGATTTCATTGGTTGTTCTTCACTCGCCCTTTACAGATGAGTTGTATTCTTAGTATCACTTTCGACCGCTCGTACGTGACAGTGATCAACAGAGCAGCTGGTTCGCACGTTCGTTGACGTTTTCTGGTTTGGTCAAGCTCACCAGGCGATCAGGCGGCTATCCTGACCGGGGCTCACAGTAATAAGAAGGCATTAAGGGACTGCGGTTCACAACACAGAAATCCCTGTTTGCAAAAAGAACATGTACTATAGTTGAGGACCTGAGTCTTCCTCCTGATTATATCTCGGTCTCCCTATAGTATCGTAGGGTGAATACAAGAGAAAGACTAGGTCTACAAAGCCATTGATCCATGCGTTTTGGGACCACTCTTAGGTATGAAACTACTTATATAAGTACGCACCTTGTCCATTCTGTTGTATAGACCATTTGTGGCGTAAACTGGTATAAAAAATGTCAATTCAAGAGAGTCTTAGGGCTTAAAAGATTCTGTCATCAAGTGGTTATGGTGGTGAATTGAATCTCATTAGGTCAGGGAATGATGTTATCCTACACCCACAGCTTATTTCCTTATGGTGTTACACCTAAATCATTGGACACACATAGCTTACTCCGAAGTGATTCTGATCCGTTGCAGCAAGTCAAATGACAGCATTCAAATCGACAAATGTCCAGTGCAGCAAGACACCCAGTACGTTAAGATGAACAGAACATCTATTGGGTCGGTCTGGTCTACACCTCATTGCCATACAACGTATCGTACCAAATAACTTGATGGTCTGAAATCCCCATGGAAATTCTTAGGTTTGGCAAGAGGCAACCTTCATGAGAGTCAGTCGTTAATTCGAAACGCAGTGGAGAAAAAGCCAAGACGGAACATGTGTGCAGCCTATCCACAAGGGGAAATATTACATTGAAAAAAAACAGTGGGTCCCTATTAGTGACAATAACCTCTGTATGTATATGTAGATTTGAATAAAACTCACCTGCAGTTTTCCGGCAACTTCCTCCAGGCGAGCAGATGCGATCCACGCTGGAGGATGTTTGGGATTTGTTTCTCGAACCGATTTTAGCAGCAGGCGAGCCTTTTTCATGTCATTGATATCTCCACCGTGTTGTGGAATCATGGACTGAAGATCGGTCAAGTAGCCTTTAGGGTCAACCACTGTTTGACCAGAGACGCTATCGGAAACCTGTGAAAACAAGCGCAGGTAGTGATAGAGGAGTGATTAATACAACTTAAAAAGGGATGCCGTGTTCAGAAAGAAGGGAACAGCTTGACTGTTGGTGATAAACAGACAGCAGTGTCAACCTACACCGAAAATATGTATCTTGGTTGTCGAGACACAACATTCGTGGACTAAGCGTGAAAACCGAAGGAGTCCAAGACCCTATAGATCCGGCAATTGAAGAGTATGTTGGTGGCTTGGGTTGCACAAGTGGTCGCTAACTCACCCGCCCAGATGGAGCAAGTGATGAAAGATCATCAGTGCATCGCAGTACAGAGGGTCATAGCGGTATGCCAACAGTTGTGTCAGCACGCCCATTGCGATCGCTACGGGAGTAAGTATTGTCATGAAAGTAAGACCTCAACGAAGCGGACCTGCCTAGGTTCCGAAGTGTTTCTTTGAAGTAGCACTATATTTGGAAAGTAAATGTTACAAAATACTGCCCGAGATCCACCTTACAGTAGTAGATGGTCGGACACTATTTCCCAGGGGCACACAGCTGAATGCACTTAAATGGAAAAGTTACTGCATAACCTACAAAGAAGTGAATTCCTCAGGCAACACACGTTCTCGTTTGAGCGAAATTGCTTGACTGAATAGGCTGAGGTGCAGCATATAATTTAAGAAACATTACCAATGTACTAAGGGAGTGAAATAAACCCGAAACCAGCGAGCATGTGAAAGCAGCTCCAAAGGACTTGGCGGACGGGATTGATTCTGGTTCAAAGGTCAAGACAACGACTCTCCTCCTGCCTTGCAGTTTGCACTCGGTCGTGCAAAGGTTGGCGGTGCACCCTCGAACAAAAGCCGGATGGCGCTGGAGACAAACCGCAAAAAACAAGAAGCTTCATGATTTGTCCACCGTCAAAAGCTCTTTTCATGCCATAGCGTCCCCCGTAATCGATGCACTCTCGCAAAGTTGCGAAACTCAGTGTTACAACACTTGTTTACCTCGGGTGTTAGGATGTAAAGAACCTCTGGGGTGTTTGGAACTAACCCACTATTATGCGTGCCCTTCAGGATTATGCAGTCGATATAACCTGTTCATCGGACGGCTAGATAATTGGACATGGTTACGTAGGATTCAAGTTCTTGCAGCAGGCGGCTCCTTCATCCTCTACCACAAGAGAGTCTTGTCAAGACGGTGTGCCTTTTGTACTCAATAAAAAATACAGTAAGATAATCGCTCAGCTCCTACACCCTTTCGGTGCCTAGCTGCCATGCCACCCTAAGCAAGCACGAGGGCTGAGATACCGACAGGTTGTCCAATTCTAGACAGGAGAAGTCGAGATGCAGAGATCGGGTTCGAACTACAGACCTTCCGGATAGTAAATCAGCGCGACGATCTTCATCTGACGCCATCCACGAAACAGTCAAACCATGTCTTGTAGTGCTTGACGATATTTGTATACGATGGATTCGAATAGTAGGTGCTGCTAACTACCTAAGATCCATGCCGCGCAAACAAGACTGTATTCCAGAAGTTGTCAAGCCAAACTTTCCAATGCACCAAACTACCGTACACTCCTTCGTTTGACATGAACGAATGAAATCATTACTACATTAATGTGGTGACCGGTATGGAAGTGAAATTACTTCGCCTTCTGTGATAAGCTCCAAGAGAACGTCTGTTTGCATAGCCCATTCTATGTACTCCATCTGACGAAATCACTCCTGATACCAGCCCGAAAGATTCCCAAGGGACAGAACATTTTACATAACTCCTTTATCGCTCACATCAGGATGCGAGTTTCTCGTTCGCCGTACGACATTCTCAGAGTCTTTCAGGTAAGGAGGTCTGCCGTCAGTGCTTTGACATCGCCCGATCGAACAGCTAATTGCAAGTCGACTCCGACAGTTTGAGACTTTCTCCGCTGTCCAGTTATTGTCATCGCCTGAACTGTTTTTGCTCCAAACAGTACGAAGAATGGTACCGTTCTCGAGGCGGTCAGCTGGAGACATGGATTGATTCTGTTGAAGCTGATGTTCAGCGCCTGAATGAACAGGTTTCCTATGGCCCATAGCACTGGGACCAACAGTAAATCGATATCTGTGATAGTCTTGCCACCGACCATTGCGTTTGAGCAGTTGTAATGTGAGGCAAAATCATCAGTCTTCATGAGATCAAGTTCTAGATGTGTTTGCGTTCATCTAAGGCCACGTGCGGCGATTTCTGTGGACTGCAAAAAACTCAACGTCATAAAGATTTGATATTTTGGAGACATGAAAAAATGTCACATTAATTCACGAGGTTCCGTGTTCCGTTTCGTTTCTGTCAATAGACTGAGGAAGGCTTAGTAGTGATACTTGTCTGTATAGTCACTAAAGACAGTACTCTCTCTCTCTGCACACACACAACCTTCGCCACCACTTGCAGCAACTTAGACCAGCTGAACCAACCCAAGTAAATGGTCTGCGTTTGAAAGAACCACTTTATACGCAACACATCTTTGACTGTTCTTAGAAAATGATTTCATAAAATCAGGTACTTCATAAACAAAGACATAACAAATAAAAACAAACAGACCTGTGTTAGTTTGATGTCCATCAGAGAAGTACGAGCCTCTCCAATCTTCTTCATGTCTATGTCTGTCTGATGCCCTTGGGTAGTGAATGGAGTTGTCAGCCCACCCAATTGCTGTTCCATGGCACTGACCGCCGTTGCTGTCTGTGGGTGGCACAAAATAACAGAACACACTGAGAGATAAGCTGAATGGAGAGAAGTACGTCCCAAAACATCTTTTAAAAAAGTGTAATCCAGAAACAACAAGTGTTTGTTTGTGTCTAGTAACTTCATTCGCAACCCATGCATCGCCATTATAAAGCATAGAAATATAGCGATGGAAATTGGCACGTGTACACAAGACATGTACCAGTCAAAAGCAAGAAGAATGGCGTTGAATGAAATCACCAAAATGCTTCGCATTTATATCAACATTCGTAATTGTTCCATCGGGTTTTAGAAATATCATACGGTTAGGAACTGCAAAGTTCATGGGATCAGTTCTTTAGCTTTAACGGCACGGCAGCAAACGGTGTAAGCGGGTGAAAAGGTTCTACGACAACTGGTGTGACCATGGTGCCCCAAACCATTCTTACGATTTTGGAAAACGACCGGACAGATGGACCGACAGAGAACAGATGGAAAGATTATCGTGCATCATCAAGGACTCGATGGGGTACGAGTGGGAAAAAAACGAGGCACGAAATTGTAGCCAAAACAAAACGGATGAAGTAAGCAAACAGGATTAGAATTAAACAGCTTACAGCCACGTCACATTTCTCCTAAAATACTCCCTCGATGATCAACAAAAGTTTTCGTCTTGGGGTGTTGCGTATTGATAAGCTTACACAGCTCTCAGTTAATCGAATATTCCAGGGTAGAAGCCCAGTTTGTTAGAAGCCAATAAAACGAAGGCGTAGTTACCGGCGCTTAAGCACCACACTTAAACACAGATAAAATTGAGCTTCAACGGTCTCTCATACATTCTCAGATCCCAATTCATCCAATCGAGAAATGAGGTCTGCTGCATTAGGAAAAGGATCGGAAAACTTGCTTTTCCGGGTTGCACTTGCAGTAGCATAGTCAACCAGGAGATGTATATATCATTTTACTTTATATATTATTTATATTATTATATATTATTATATTATTATATATATTATATATATTATATATATATATATATATATTACCTTTTACGTAGTGTAAAGATGCGTTTTAATTGGAATTCGTCCTGCTAATGCGGCTTGTCTGCAGTATAAAAAGCAGAGAAGCACT